CACATGCAAGACACTATGGTAGGCTCCGGGAGATACGGGAAGAGAAATAATACATTTCCTTTTCTTCTATAGGTTATATTATAGTTTGAAAGAAAGGTCTTTTCCATATCAGTATATCTAAAGAGTTCAACTGCCATTGCCTGGAATGATGTAACTAACTGGCAAGTCCTTTAAAAATCTATATAGTGCATGAGACTAGAAAGAAGCCACTATTGCCAGAGGGAGTAAAGAAGGGGTTCTAGAGGAGATGGAAATAGGTTGTTTCCTAAAAGATGGTTAAAATTTGATGTGAGAAATAAGGGGTAAGGATATTCAAAATGATAGGTAAAGCATGAACAATTCAGAAATGACCTTGGCATGTCCATGAGACTGTGAAAGCATCAACGTGGATGGAGTAGAAGGTGCCTTTGGCTCACTCTAGGTCAAAAGTTAGAAATGCATGTTGAGGTGAATTGAAATGCCTCCCAAGTTCAGGCAGGTAATTAAATGAGCAAAGCAGCCTGGGCATCTACTGAGAGGGAGTGGAAGAAAGCTATGGCCCAGGCTCAACAAAAAGGAAGACATTACTAAGCTCCAGCCAGTTCCACAGTGAACTCTGCCCCTAGTGTTGCCACACCTTCCCATTTGTTACAATACGCCACTGCTCTGGATTTTAACATGTGAGTGTGTAAATTTAATTCTTATGACAAAACATGGAATTATGCTGGACAAAACTAGATGCGTAAAAATTATTTGAGTCATACTGAATCATATCTAGTATGTGAACCACTCACTTTCAACCTCTGCTGGACTGTAGAGAGCAAAGACTGCTAGAATTACCGTAAAGCCTGCGTGGCTTATCCGATAGCCATGTAAGGTTACAGAATAGAGATGCAACAGAAAGGGGTATGCTTTCCTCGGGCTATAAATTCAGAATATTTGTATGACAAAAATAATAAGTGAAAGAGAATTGATTGGAATTATTGACTATTACAGTTTTAAAAATTATTTTTAAATGACATTCATCTTAAAGTTCTATTATCTGTTGTTTAAACTGGTTGCAGGAAAATTTTACAACAAAATTTTAAAAATATGTGTTGGCTATAAATTCTTTTCAACAGTCTCATTTGCCTTTAAAAAAAAATACAATGATATGACTCTTCTCTACCTAATAGGAAGAGGATTCTGGGTATATACTTTCCAGATGGACCTAAATGAGCACTTGATGAATGACCTTTTATTTGCCACTACTACCAGCTGCCAATGGTGGATGCAACCAGGATGTCTTGGTCAGGTTCATTTATGTGCGTGTTCTGTTTTGGTCCACAAGCCTGGCTGACATTGAAACCAGGCGGGGTTTGAAGGTTTGCAACAGATGTTTTTGTGCCTACTAATTTCTGAATTTGATAGAGTCTATAAATCACTCACAAAAAATACTGTGTGAGTCCACTATTGGTTTAGGTTTTTCCCCAACCTAATGAGAAAAAACCTGAAATTGATGTTAAGAATATAGCTTCTAGCCCTAGCTGGTTTGGCTCAGTGGATAGAGTGTCGGCCTGTCAACTGAAGGGTCCTGGGTTCAATTCCAGTCAAGGGCACATGCCTGGGTTGAAGGTTTGATCCCCAGTAGGGGATGTGCAGGAGGCAGTCAATCAATAATCCTCGCTCATCATTGATGTTTCTATCTCTCTTTCCCTCTCCCTTCCTCTTTGAAATCAATAAAGACATATTTAAAAAAAAAAAAAAGGTATAGCTTCTGGGGTAGGGGCAAAAATGCAACATCTAAGCCTTCACACTGCAATCAAGAAGTTTTGTTATTTAACAAAAAAGCCAACATATTCTCTCTCTCCTATCAGGAATTCCTAACAGGTGGAAGAGCTTAGTATCAGCAAAGAATTAGGTGGAATAGAGAATTTCACATGGAGTTTACAATATTATGCTTCTGTCTAAATGAAATTCAGCATTCCAGATGTTGCCTACATTTCACTTAAAACCAACTGCTATGATTTATGAACAATAAAAATTCCTGAAATGTAACAGGGCAACTCTGCTTCCTAATGCTGAGAAAACTCTTAGAAGATTATCACATTTTGAAAACGTGCTAATGAGCCACAAAGTCTGATTAAAATCTAAGGTGCAATATTCCCAAAATATTCCTGGTGGTTTAGATAAGTAAGGCTGTTTTCACCATTGATGACAGTACTTTCCGACACATTTTGCAAAGATAAGGTCTCAATAGTTAAGCCAGTTCACAATAGCTTCTTATTAAGTTATTTTGAGGAAGCAGGGTAAGACAAAACGTTAAGACCTGAAAACTGGATAAGAAAAAAAGAAAAAGAAAAATAGTCCACACATACAGACCATTCAGTTGCTAAAATGTGAATGGTTAAGGCTTCAAAACATAAAAGATGACATTTTAATTACTTAATTTAATGCCTTTTTATAAATAATAAGTCCAAGTGTTAAGCAGATGCGAACAAAGATGAACATCTTCTGTTACTTAATTGTGGAGAATAGAATAGTTGGAAGCATGTTTCCTAGACAATATCTCTATGGGAGAGAAAAACGCTCAGATACTGCGGCTTTGTTTAAGATCAAACTGATCTAATTAGCATTTTCATCTACTTTATTGCTCAGAATTCCCTTTAGTGAGGTGTGCTTTTGATAAATTTTAAGGAAAGCTTTTTGGAGAAAAGTTGAATTCAAACATATAAAACAAAAAGGAGAAGTTTTCTTCAAAGATTAGCCAAAAATTATCTGAAAACTAAAATAAAAACTGCAAAGTCATAAAACTACATTTCTGTATTAATAATAAGATGTGACTTACACAGATTAACCCAGGATTATTTTATATTTATGATATTCCTGAAACAGGACAAAATCTACCAGGGGAATTTTAATTGAAGTTACATGCAGTAATCAGAGGGAACAATACTTCTCTCTCTTCTGATTGAATGATAATGTGGCCATATTGGTTAGTTATTTTGTAAGGTCATTATAAATCATAGCGATATTGACAAGCTTGTAATTAAATGTATAAATAATTTTCTGATTTCAGATCATAAGAATTGAAGAGAGTGTTCTCACAGCACACTTCACATTCTGGACACTTTAGGATTTTGTTTCCACTTCTTTGCATGTGGCAGATATAGACTCAGTCCAATGGAGAATAAAACTATACACTTGGCACCTCCTACAGACATTGTGACTATAGGAGTGTGTTCACAAAATGTTACTAATAAGATTGCAAACTGAGACAGAGGCAAGGTATAGGTAAAATCCTGGTAGACCTTCCTGACTCAACTCCCTGCAAGAAATTTTCACTTGGCTGAAAAGAGAACCCCTGATACAACCATTTTTTTAAACTTATAATTTCATTCTCAGAAGGGGGAAAAATCAGGTAATTCTATACTTGATTTTGACCAACAAGAAAGAATTAGTTAAATTTAGTTTACAGAAGTGATGCTGAACTTCCATTACACAATCATCTCTTTAAGCAAGTAAATACCTCATTGCTAAAGCAACTACCATGTGCTGTATTTGCAACACCGGTGCCTTGTATGGAGTTGGTACCTTCATCTTTCCTTAGCCTATCTTTAATGTTTTATTATTTTATAAATATTTTTAAAAGATAATCAGAAAATTATGTGCCAAGAGTCATCAATAATTTTCTGCATCAACATGCAAGGAAAAGACTAACACTAATCAGTTCTCTACAAACCTTGCTAAGCTTACCTGGTGGTAAACCTCTTCAGAACTAATCCCAAAGAAGGTCATTCAACTCTTTATATGTTTCTCCTAGTTCATTCATTTCAAGGTGCCTCTTCCTCCCAGCCCCCACCCCCTCCAAAATTACCCATCCTCATCCCTCCCATCCCTTTTACTACACAATGTACATAGTTTTCAAATGTAATATGCCCTTTGCATATCATAAAGAACAATTCTCTAAGTAGGACTGATGATCTATATATATATAAAAGCCTAAGCAACCGAACAACTGAATGACCAAATGACTGGTCGACCAGTCACTATGACGTGCACTGACCACCAGGGGGAAGGCGCTCAATGCAGGAGCTGCCCCCTGGTGGTCAGTGCACTCCCACAGCCAACCTACCACGACCAGCCAACCTCCCGTGGCCCCTCCCCCTGGCTGGCCAACCTCCCATGGCCTCCCCACAGCTGGCCAACCTCCTGCGGCCCCAATGGCCCCAGTCGCCTGCCAGGGACCCCACCCATGCATGAATTTGTGCACCAGGCCTCTAGTTTAAGTATGAAATCTCAAATGTTATAGGAATCATGGGTACAACATTGCCCTAGAGTTAAGAGGTAATTAATAAGAAAAATTCAACATAGGGACTTTACCAATCAGGAGGAGTTTTCACAGGAGAAATTTCTGCCATGCTGACTTACAAAAATAGTTAATTGCCTTCATTCCAGTTATATCCTTCTAAATCTATATTAGTTCAAATGCTTCTGTAAGCTTCTTGGAGAAATGTTAATCGTGGTGCTAAAGCTAAGAATGCCATTTTGCTGAGTGATTCAAAAACATGAGTGCTGCAACCCAAACAAAAGCCTGATTCCATTTTTTTTAACTAATCAAAGAAGATTATGTGAAAGAAAAAAGTGAAGATAGAGAGCATTTCTCTGGAAGCCTAGGACAAGCTTGCTCTGTTTGAGTAATGTAAACAAAAACCCGGGTTACCAATGTGCAGCCAAGAGGGTTTGAAAACGATTTTAAACATATCACATTTGGCCTAAGTATATCTCTTAACAGCTCTGGCATTAATAAACATTCATAAGTGGTTATGGCCTGTTCCTTTCCCCAGTAAATATATTTACTTCTCCGAAATAATTTTCAAATCATATAACCACAGGATGCAAACGTCTATGAGATAGTAGAGCAATCTATTTCAAAGCAACCAACACAGGCTGAGACTTCTATTCATGAGTATGAATAATTGGTAACTGCGTAGATTCAACTATTAGGACCAGTACAGCTAATAATGGTGGTTGGGACTTACCAGTACTTGTAAGGAAGTTGACGTTTCTCATCACACCTTCAGTGTAAGCGCCTGGCTCGTAACTGTCCATTTCACCTGTGACAATGTGAGCCACTCTTGCTGCCCGTCCTCTGATAGCACCGGCAGCTCGGTCTAAATTATCAGCATCCTGGTCTCTCAGGGCTATGATACATTTGTTGACATCTTCTAAGATGTGGCTCTCTGTAAGGAAACAGATCAAAATAATTCTGTCAGTATTTTTTTATCACACAAATCTAGCATATTATAATTTAAGTTAACTTCTGACTTCAGATGTGATGCATGTTGGGAATGGAGGACAGGGACACTAGGGAAGGAAAAATACAGACATAATTTTGCTCCTATCTCTTTAAGAGCAAAATTTGCAAAATACAGAATTTTACATTTTTATCAACAATTTTTATAGATTATATATTGTTTTATATTCTAGTTCCAATAGATTAGATTTTAGATTTGACTGCTTTGTAGGTAGAAATTAAGGAGTTTCTAGATTAAAAATAAAATGTATAATAATAGAGTACTTAATCCTGATTAAAAGCAACATTATAGAGGTTATAAAACTCTTTAAAAATTTCAGTTGTCCTAAATATATAGCAAAACAAAACTATGGAGTTCTATTCAACTAATCTTCATTGATGTACAATGAAGTTTAACACAATTACAGAAATCTTAAAATTAATAAATAACAAACATATGAAATACATAATTTTTAAATTGTAAAGCAGCAACCTCTCTAAGTCTATGAAAACACTTAGATAAATAGGGGGCTTTGAAAAGATTGACGTGAGGCAAGCGAATCCCTGAGAAAGTTGCCCACTCTGAAGAGTGTCCCCCGACCTCCACTGCTCCTTCCCTCTTTGCATGATTAGGGCATGAAGACAGCAGACTTCTTAGGCTAGCACTGTTTTCTTTGTCTATAAGATGATTAAAACTCCCAATAAAACTAATGAGAGAAGCTGAACAAATATGGGGAATATCATCAAGCCTGGGCAATATTTCTAAGAAATTAAAAGAATATTATAAGAATTAGTGTTTGGCTCTTAGCATTTTCAAATGAATCCCCACTCAAAATCCTTAAGGACTCTATTACTTAAAAACATACTAGAAAACAACTACAACAAAAAGGCCTTACTAATTTCAGACCGTAGTGTTAACTTCCCCCCTTCCCCCAGAGGACAGGCATTCACAAAGCTATTTCTTTGCGGCGTCACACCTTTCTTATAATGGGTAGAGCATAAAATCCAAAAGACCAAATAATATGGTCCCTGGTGACTTTCTGAGACCTGATGACTATCATTCCTCTCTAGGCCTCTTATGCTTCAGTCATATTTATTTTATGATTCCCAAGTCCACCATGTTCTTACAAGCCTCTGTCCCTGTGGGCATATTAGAGTCTTGACCTAGATAGACTGTTCTTTTTCTTTCCTGGATCCAATTTCTGGGTGTGTGTGTGTGTGTGTGTGTGTGTGTGTGTGTGTGGTGGGGGTGAGGGTGGGGGTGGTTCCAAACTCCAACAAGCAATTTTGGTGTCCACCTGGGTGAGCTACAATTCAACTCAATCCTGACACTCTCTACCAGAGATGGCATCTGTTTCCACAAGACTTCTCCTGCACCCTTCACTTCAGACACCAGTCCCAAGCCCAGTTTGTTACCTATACTTCTGACTGTCTAGCAATAAATCAGAGATTCCCATCACTCCTTCTTTGGGTTTTATTAACTTGTTAAAGCATCTCACAGAACTCGGAGAAACATTTTACTTATTAGTTTTAACTTTTATAGCTCAGGAACAGTCAGATGGAAGATGCATAGGCCAAAGTATAAGGAGAGAGCATGGAGTTTCCATGCCCTCTCCGGGCACACCACTTTCCCCACATCTGCACATGCTCCCTAGCACAGAAGCTCTCTGAATGCAATCTTCCCCCACCCCCATGGAGGCTTCACTACATAGATAGGATTAATTCAACCTCCAGCCCCCTCCTCTCCACCTCTCCATGGTTGGTTCCTCGGGCAATAGGCCCCATCTTTAGTCCACTGTCATCTCATTAACATAAGGAAAGAAACCTCAAGGCTTTCAGCACTTAGCAACGTCCAAGGATTTTCCAAGCTCTGTATCCAAAATGGGGTGAATACCAAATACATATTTTCTATTATAAATCATAATATCACAACTGTGAATCCCCTTTGGTCTGATTCATCAACTTCTACTACTCTTTCAAAATACTAGTCAAATGTTCCTTCCTCAGAAAATTCATGCTGACCGACAACAAGACAAATTTTGTCCCATGTTGTTTGGGATTCCCATGAAACAGTCTATATTTTCCATTAGGTCTTTTGTCCATGTTTTAATGATGTACTCATGAAAATATCTCTCTAGTACACTATGGAATATATGGGAGTACAGGTATTTTATCTTGTTACTTGGAGTAGCCTATCTAGCCTCTAATACAATACATGGCACCTGTTAAACCAAAGAATATTTGTTGAATTTGTTGAATTCCTCTAATAAGACACATCTGAGAACAGTAAATTATTTTGTCTACATCCTAAATCAAGTGTTATGTACATAAGTAGACATATTTCCGTGACCTTAAATAGTCAACTTGGCCCACATCAAGGACAGCCAGGTCATTTACTTGAAAAAGATTACACACTGAAAACCATTGCTATAAATTCACTCTAATTTTAACCTATTCAGCAGCATTCAGTTATGAATGTATCATAAAGGCATATAGTAAATACAGGCAGGATCCCTTCTCAACAGAAAGTGCCTGGGTATCATTACCATCATATTTCCCCTGGAACTGAAGTACAAGTTTAAATGTGGGAGGCATAGCAATCATGAGCTTTTTAAAAGTCCACAGATGTGCACTTTAATGACACATTAAGAAGCTGTTATTTCCCATGTACATTGGTAGGTTGTTTTTTTGTTTTTTTTTAATAAGTACAACATAGGTTAACCATAAATTAAGGTGCTTAATTTTAGGTTGCAGAGTTATTTTTTGCTCAATCCTAAAAAAATTGAAAAGATATTTAGGGAAAAAATCCACAATGCTCATTTTTGAAGATTAATTGTCTTATAAACTATGTAATTTCTTTTTAATTAAAGGTGAAATCATATCTGTCACAAACTATTCTTTATCTGGTGAATTTTACACAGGAAAGGATATACAAAGAATATTCAATAACAATAAATTGATTGTTTCCCTCTTCTATTGAAAAACTTATATACAAGCTCAGCAATTTATTTTATTATTTGAAGCAGAGAATAAAAACATAGCAAGGGTTGTTTTTGTTCTTTTTTTATTGGTCTTATAGAAGTGTGTGTGTGGCTATTGCTTCAGGTTGAGCAACACCATCAGCAGCCATAGTGTTAATTAATCATGTGGAAGCATTCTATAGGCAAGGTGAGATACTGAATAAAAGCCCTACAGGAACATACACAATATGAAAAAATGGTACATGAAATGAGTGGCAAGCAGCATATAATCAGACTTTATCATATGCAGATATATTGAGAATGTTGGAGATGATGACTAACTGATCTTTTGAATTACTAACATTAAATATAACACAAAGGAATTAGGAAAGTTTGCAAAGTTTCCATTATTGTGACACTTTCCCATTACCCTGAATGTTTCAAAAAATGCCAGCAACAATTATTTGCACAAAATTCTAAATAATAGAGTGCCAGAAAAAGAAAATAAAAATGTTGGGCACCTCCCACGTATGCACAATAGTTAAACATCGAACTAATTTCCTAAAAACAAGTATTTCTTTGCTACTCATATTTCAGGTGAATTTAGGTAGCTAAAAAGTCCTTCTTGATAGCTTGAGTTTTTATGCCCAGTTATATAACCTTACACTGCTAAGGGGAAAAAATAAAACACCAAATACCTTGTAGAAAACTTACTGGTGTATCGCTTAAGACTTTGCTGATGGACTAGGATAACTTATCAGACAGATGTAGCAAAAGTTATTAGAAGCTCTACCTCCAGTTTATTTTTTTCTCAACTGTAAATGCACTTGGACTCGACAATTACACCATTTTTAAAATGAGAGTTAAAATAAAGAAAACTTTATTATAAAATAAGCACATTTAGAATATTACATGCTTTGAAGAACGATTGAAGACTTGTCTTTATTAATAGTTTCAGAGTGTGAGTTAACATTTGATTTGGGGTGAGTGGTGGGATGTCCTGGTGTTACTGAAAATCCTAAAGTGCATTATTTTAAGAGCAAAGAATTGCTAACTACTAGCAATCTCTATCAATCACTTTATAGCTATTCTGAAATGCAAAGGGTTATTTTTTTATGTTGAAAATAGTAATAAGCAGGGAAACATTGATTTTGAATAAAAGATATTTCATTTGTTGCAAACTTCTCTGAGTAACTCCAACTTTGGTCACTGTAGCAAGTATTAACACAATGAGATTTGAAATGCCTTAAGTTTTTTTTTTTCTCTGATTCTTTTCTTAATTTTTTAGTTTTCAACAATTAGTGCTAGAATTAGTCTCAGGAAAAGAAGAAAAGAAATAAAATCCAGCCAAAGCAGAAACTTACTTTTTCTAAAGGTATTGAGTTATAAGACAAAAGAGGCTGAGTTTCATAAATTGGCAAGATTAAAGGTTAGCTACCGATTGTATATGAGTTCAGAGAGTTGATAATTGATTAAACTTTTTCAGTTGAAGTTGACATATATTATGTTAATTTCAGGTATACAACATAGTGATTAGACATTTATATACCTTACAAAGTGATCACCCTGATAAGTCTAGTACTTATTTGATACCATACATAGGTATTATAATATTATTGACTATATTCCCTATGCTGTACTTTTGAAGCATAGTAACCTCCATATTGGGTAAAAACTGCTGTTTACAATTTTAACCCTGCTATTCTGGCTTCTGTAAATATTTGCTTTCATAAATAATAGAGAAAATAAGACTAATCCCCACTCCAGAGAGGCCATAAACTATGCCCCAGACGGAGTTGTCAGTGCTGGCACCAGGCCAGGCGTTGAGATATAGTCTCACGGCCCTGTCCCAGCAAACAGGACTTTTTCTCAGAAGGTCCAGAAGTCTCATTCCAAATTTGGAAAACAAAAAGCTGAAAAACATATAAATTGAAAAGACTTCCACCATATTGGGGCCCAGAATTTGAGAAGCAAGAGTTCCTCTGGG